TAGATAGATAGATAGATAGATAGATAGATAGATAGATAGATAGATAGGGCTAATTTTTAGGACCCTCCGAAGTGTCTCCTAAACCCAAAACAAAGCCCCCCCCCGTCCCCTGCCCTGAAGGATTTCAATTCAATTCCCAGCTCTGCAAGAATAATACAACAATTTGCTGTCATTGTTATTGCAAAATAATAATAATAATAATGCACAGAGACATTTGAATTAAGTGGCCGTGACAAGACAAGACACCTACTAAAAATTAATAAGACTTAGGGGAGGGGGTCTTTCACCCCCTTCACTTTTTTAGGGGGTAGGGTCTTTTATTTTCCTTAACACCACCCCCACCCCCAGTTGGGTCTGTTGCTCCGCCGTTTTGTTCGAAATGGTCTTCTTTGGGAGGACAGGGCTTTGTCCCCCGAAAGCCCCCAAGAGGACTTTGCCATTTCCCCCCCCCCCCCCCGAATTTTTTGTCACTGAAGCAGGAAAAGTCTGTGTGTGATTGAAGGCCCCCCTCCCCGCTTTCTGGGGAAGGTGGAGGTAAGGCTGGGAAGGAAGGGAGAGAGGAAAGGAGGGAGGGAGGATTGAGAGGAAAATGCAGAAGACTGAAAGAAAGGGAAAGATTCCCGTGAACGAGAAAAAGAATGGAAGGAGGAAGGAAAAGAAGGGAGGGAGGATGAAGAGAGATAAAATGCGGAAGATTGAAAGAGAAAGAGAGAAAATGAGGAAAAAAATGAGAGGAAGGCAGGAAGGAAGGTGATGAAATAAATAAATTCTATATTAACCTGCTTTGGACGGCTGTGATCATTACTGTCTTGTTTTTCTTCCTCCCTTCCATTCTTATTTCCCCTCCTTCCCTCCTTTCTTTCTTTCTTTCTTTCTTTCTTTCTTTCTTTCTTTCTTTCTTTCTTTCTTTCTTTCTTTCTATCTATCTTTCTTTCTTCTTTCTTTCCTTTCCCACTCCCTTTCTCGTTTCCTTTCTTCTACATTCTTCCAATCCTTTTTTCTTCTCTTTCATTCTGCCCTTCCTCTTTTCCTGCCTTTTCCTATCCCTCCCTTTCCCTCCTCTCTTTCCCTCTCTTTCCGTTTGCGAACAGTCTTCCTCCCCCCCCCTCTTGTTCTCTCCCTCCTTCCCCGCTGTCTCCGCCCTTCCCTCCTGCCCTTCCCTCCTTCACCTTCTTCCTTCCTTTTGACTCAGCAGCTTGTAAGCGGGGCCCAGGAAGGTGCTTTCCCTGTGGGAGTTTGCCCAGCTCCCATCTGAAGTCAAGGCCGGTTGCAAGCTGTCAGGAGAACAACTAGGGGGTGGAGGGGGGTGGAGAGTTGTGGGGAGGGTGGAGGGAGGAAGGGAGAGAGAGAGAGAGAGAGAGAGAGAGAGAGAGAGGCGGGACCAAAGCCAGACCCCCAACTAAAGTTTCTGATCTAACCTGGTTCTCTTCTTACGCACTTTCGCTCAACAAAACAGCCTCAAAAGAAAAGGCACAGGCTGGAGAAGCTGACTTCTTGGCGAGCTGCTTTAATTTTGGGTTGTGCGCCTTATGCCAACTGTAGAACATGGGTAGGTTATGTGGGTTTGTGCAAATGCCGCTCGTGTGAAGTTTAGTGGAATTGGAATTGGTGAGATCTCTCTCTCTCTCTCTCTCTCTCTCTCTCTTTCCTTCCTTCTTTCTCCAAAAAATAACCCAATAACCCGTCCCTCCCTCACATTCCCATTTCCTTCCTTCCTTCCTTCCTTCCTTCCTTCCTTCCTTCCTTCCTTCCTTCCTTCCTTCCTTCTTTCTTTCTTTCTTTCTTTCTCCCCAAAATAACCCAAAGGTTACGCCATGCACTGGACACCTGAATAGGATTGGAGCTCACATTCCAATTCCATTATTCTGACATTCTGGTCTCAATATTTCAACATTTCTAGATTGAGGTTCCAAACCATAGGAAAGGGTTATACGCCAATAGTGTCGACAAGGACTGTCAAGTAGTCTTCAGGCTTTCAGGCAACTTCTTGCACCATTTGGGAAGGGAGAACTTGTACGCTACGAGTACACAACCCAACTAGCCATTCAGGCTTGCACCATCCCCTCTCTTTCTGATCCTCCTTTTCAAGAAAGATGAAGAAGAAGCTACTCAAATCCCTGGATTCGTTTCTTCCAGTTTCAGAGATCACCTTCGTTTGTTTTGATATGTCCAACCGTTGGAGAATTTTACACCAGGGAGGAAAGAGAAGTCAGAAGCCATCCCCATGAAGGAAGGAACCCCGAGAGGAAAAGAGAAAGGCTGAGAGAGGAAGTTTGGTTAACTAGATTGCTTCTTCTCCCTTCCCAAGAAGATGGTGACGGGAAGGAATCGGTCCACCAAGTCTCTCACAAGGATCTCACAATTGCCAGTGGGTGTCACTCTAAGATAAGAAGCATCCATGCAAAAAGGAGAAGGGAGGGAACACATTTGGAAGAAGGAGAAGGAGAAGAAGAAGAGAAGAAGAGAAGAAGAAGAAGAAGGGGGAAGGAGGAGGAGGAAGGAGAAGGAGAAGAAGAAGGAGGAGGAGGAGGAGGAGGAGGAGGAAGAAGAAGAAGAAGAAGAAGAAGAAGAAGAAGAAGAAGAAGAAGAAGTCGTCTACATGATATTTCAAAAAAGGCTCTCTGACAAAGCATGGAAGAATCCAATTGTTGGAAGTCCTCTGACCTTTACTTCCTGCATTCACACAACATCCAAGTGGCATTGGCACATCGTTAACAAGTTTGGCAAGTTGTGTTTTGATGTCTAAAAGTGTGTGAGGCAAACTCGAGTTTATAGTTCAGGGCCTTTACAAGCCTTTCCCTCCAGTTGGTTTGCTGACCTGGTTTAACGGGTCTTAAAAAGGGGGGTCGTTTGAAATTCCTCTAACGAAGAATTGATGGTCAAACTCAGGGGGTTCTCAACCTATGGTCTGCTGACCCCGGGGGAGTCCGTGATGTCATCCCAGGGGGTTCCACAAAGGCTTGAAAAAAAAAATGTTATGATTAAAATCTTAGCCAACTCCCTGCAGGAGAAGAGTCACACTGGTCTCAAAGAAATAGTGGAATAGAATCACGAAAGAAAGGATTGCAAGAGGAAGCACGCAAATGAAAGGAGAAGGACAAAAATTAAAATGTTTTCTAAATTATTTTAAATAATTACATTGAAGGGCGGAGTTGACCAGTGGCAAGTTGACTGTGGCAAGCTGGCTGTGGTGATTTGTCCCATTCCAGCCACAAAAGGTATTTCAAGGGGGTCTAAGATGAAGAAATGATTGAGGACCACTGGCCTAATCCATCTATCCATCGCTTAATTTTGGGATTGTCATCAAGAGGGGTGGGAACTGATTTGCGAGTTTCCAGTGTCCCAGAAGATGGCCTAGAATTCAGATTTCAGCCTTCCGAGGGTTAAAAAAATCAGATTAACTCATTCCAGAAACATTAAAGACCAAATAAACACATCGGGTTAAAAATAAGTTTAATCATCAGGAAACAAACCAACCTCCAGTCCTAAAATAGAAATCTGCAATTAAGTCTTCTGGGTTTATTTTGTTTATTTTTTTGTGGTTCAGCCTCCTCCTCCTCCTCCTCCTCCTCCTCCTCCTCCTCCTCCTCCTCCTCTTTCTCCCCTCTAGAGAGGTCTTAATAGGCTGTGGTATAAAGGCCTTGAGCCAGGGGCCCGATCCTCACAGGAACTTCTGAATGGAAGACCTCAAGCGCCTTCTTGTATGAAGCATGATCTGGGAAGGTTGAAAGGTGTGGGTCAACCTAGAGAAGATGAAAGTGGGGAGCGGGGAAGAAAGAGAGAGAGAGAGATCAAATGGCTTCTTGGATCCAGAAAGAGGACAGGTGTCACCTTCATTAGAGACATGAGTAACGACCAATAGATTTAGAAGTGTTTTGCGCTCATGGAATATGCCACTGGTATCATATAAACAACTCAAGTTGGCAAAGATATTCAATACTTCTTCTTCCTCCCATTTTCCCCACAACAACCTGTGAGGTGGGCTGGGCTGAGAGAGAGGGACTGGCCAAGATTGCCTAGCTGGCTTTCATGTCTACGGTGGGACTAGAACTCACCATCTCCTGGTGATTGGCCCAAAGTCACCCAACTTGACTTTCATGCCTAAGGCGAGACTAGAACTGATGGTCCATCAACAATGTTAAGAAGTCAGGGAGGATGGAGGTGGCTGTTGAAGAGAGAACAGTTTGTTCTACATCTCTTCATCCTTCTGCAGCCCCCTGGGCTCCCCTTCCATGCAGGAAAAAGCCCCCCCTGGGAGGACCTCCTTCCTGAGACTCTTCCTTGGGGATGAAGGGAAGAGTTGAAGGCCAAGGAGGCTGCAGATGTCTAGAGAGAGGATAGAGCAAAGAAAAGTAGGATGTTGACACATGTTTCTTGGTCCTGAGAAGATCTCAGGAGGAATCTCCTCCTAGAGGTCTTGTTCAGATGAGAGCTGTGGAGGGATATCTACCTTGGCAACAATCATCATCATCATCACATCTTCATCATCGTCACCAACATCCCAATCTATCCACTGCAGGATGAAGACCAGGTCTTCATGGAAGGTTATGGACCAAAAACCTACCATGTTGGCCTAATAGGATGTGTGTGCAGTGGTAGTAGATGGACCTTTTTGGACTTCTCAATCTTAGGGGCCAACTTGCCCAGTGGGCTTCCCTGGTTGACCCAAGGGTGCTTTTTTACAAGGCCATTGGACTTTGTTTCTCCTTGAAGACACGTTTCGTTTCTGATCCAAGAAGGTTCTTCAGAACTTCAGAACTGAAGCGGCTTCTTGGATGAGGAGAGAAACGTGTCTTTGAGGAGAAACAAAGCCCATAACGGCCTTTTGAGGGGAAAACAACAACACCTTGACTGACAATCTCCGCAGACGTCCTCCTTGCTTCATGGAGGATAAAGAATATGGATTCCGCCTTCAACTCTTGACCACTCTGGACTTCAGAGGGCTGGGAAGGATCAGAACGAGTTAAGAAGGCCTCCCTCCACCTCTCCTCTTTCAGTCCTGCTCTCTGCTCTTCCGATGCAACGTTCTCCGAGGACTTCCACCCTGTGGGAATGGTTGATTAAGTCTTCTCCGTCTGGTCCACCTCAAGCCCCTCATCCTGCTCTTCCCGAGGAGGCTTAATGAACCATTCAGACACCGAAAGGTAATTTCTTGATTGGCAGACCAAATCTCCAGCCGCAAAGATAATTGCGGACACGCAGGTATTAAGTCCTCAGATCTCATTAACGCAGATCAGTTGGCGTTTTCCGAATTGGACGTCTAAATCCATAATTAGGCTCCTGTTTAAGTAGGCTTGTTTTGTTTTGGGGGGGGACGAGGAGGAGGAGGAGGAGGAGGAGGGCGAAGTGGGGGCAGGATCTCCCCCGGCTCCTTGTGAACCAAGCAGCCCCCGTTTTGTTATACACGAACGCGGTTGGGGTGTGCTTGAGAGCCGGGCCTTGGCTGCTCCCTCCTGTGATCGAATCCTTTATCGCAAGGGTCCTTGATGCTGTCTGGGCTTGGTGGTTTTCTGGTGGACATTTCATTGCCCAGTTAGGTAATGTCATCGGTGCCAGGAGGGAGGGTGATTTACAGAGAGGAGGAGGAGGGAGGGAGAGGGAGGGGGAGGAAGACCATGGGGTCCTTGGTACCCTCTGGGCTTGGTGGTTTTCTTGCAGACATTTCATTACCCAACTCGGTAACATCATCAGTGCCAATGCTTGCCCTGTTAGAGTTACTTCCTTCCTTTCTTGTGCTTTGGAGAATAGCTTGACCCCCTCCTCCTCCTCTCTGGGGCAGCCCCTCAAATATTGGAAGATGCTCTCCTGTCTCCCCTGGTCCTTCTCTTCCCTAGACTAGCCAGGCCCAGTTCCTGCACCAGTCCATCATATGTTTCATCCTCCAGTCCCCTCATCCTCCTGGTTGCTCTTCTCTGCCCTCTTTCTAGAGCCTCAACCTCTTTTTTTACAGTGCGGTGAGCAAAATCAAATCTGGTTGGTCACAGGGAAAAAGCAAAATCCTCGACCAAGACAGGCCTTCTTTTGGTTGGATCTTGGCTTGTAGAATTCCCTGGCGGTTACGAATTCCCGGGAACACCCCGGGAAGACCCTTCAATCCCACCCAACTTTCCAAGGGCGTGATGTCACCAGCTTGAGCCTTTCTGTGAGTCTTCCCTAACTGCCCTGTCTCTTGGTCCGGCATTTTGCGCAGCCCGGAGGGACGTTTAAGACATCCACTAAGCAAAGATTTCAGGGCTGACTCGAGACTCGCAACTCCTTTCTCACAAACTCTCGGGCAACGGCGCCTGCACCGCCGGGCGTACAAGTTTCCGACGTTCCCCACCGAATTCTCCCACCTTTTACAGGCCCACCGTTTCCTTCCCTTTTCTGTCTTCTCAACCCATCACCCGTCTTTGGTCGTCAACGCTTGGCAGGGAAATAACGAGAGATGCTAAATCTTTTATAAGGTCAACACGCAAGCAGCTGTCAAACAAGAAAAGAACTTAGCCGAGAAGACAACCCCTCCTTGGTGAAGGGGGCGGTGGAAAAATACGGAAGAGGGGCCAAGGAAAGGAGAGGAAGGAAGGAAGAAAAAGGGGAAGGGGAGAGAGAAAAAAAAAGAAAGAAAGAAGAACAACTTTCCTTGCTCATTAAGCCCACAGGCCTGGGCCTGGCCTGGCCAGGAGACGCCAAGTTGTCTCCGTTTTGTGTCAGTAATTTGTAGTGTCAGAGGAAGAGGTGGGGGGAGGAATTGGGATCAGGCAGTGCCGAAGGGGCAAGCGGATCTCGGGGGAGTCATTAACGCACCAGGAACGGCCTCGGTGCCTAATTGGAACCGCTGGGCATTATCAACGGACGATTCCCGCCTCCGTTCCCTGACAGCTTTCAGGCCCTAAAATGATAGTCCACTTGTCAATGTAAAAGACCATTAAAAACAAACCGTTTTGATTTAATTGGCGGGAGGGCTGCCGGAGGGAGGGGGCACCCAGGTGAGATGCGCCTCCTGAGCTCTCCCCGCTTTTAATTTTTCCATTCTTCCCCCGATGATGGTTTCCTTACCCCCCCCCCGTCACCCCCGCGCACCGTTCTCTCTATTTGCACCCGCTTCTCCCCCCGCCTGGCCTTTCCTTCCATTTTTTTTGGGTTTTTCTTTTTCCTTTTCATAAACTGCCTGTGAGTGAAACGATCGTGTCTATCCTATCGGGCTGTTTCTGATAGGATTGTCAACCAAGAAGCTGACAAGACGGATGAGAAAGGCGCTCGGAGAGCCAAACAAGACACGGGAGTTTTGTGCCGGGGGGGGGGGGAAGGGGGAAAAGGGGAGAAGGGGCGAGCTTGGAACACCCTAGTTGGCTTCCCTCAATCCAGAAGCTCAGGAGTAAACAAGTGAGCCTGGCTGCGTGTGGCTTTGCAAATCCATAGGGGAAAAAAAACAAGGACTTGGGAAGACAAGATAGCAGCCTTCCAGTATATCCGGGGCTGCCCCAAAGAAGAGGGAGTCAAGCTATTCTCCTCCAAAGCCCCTGAAGGCAGGACAAGAAGCAACGGATGGAAACTAACCAAGGAGAGGAGCAACCTAGAACGAAGGAGAGATTTCTTGACCTAGAACGGTTCATCAGTGGAACCCCTTGCCTCCAGAAGTTGTGAATGCTCCAACACTGGGAGTTTTTAACACTGGCTGGACAGCCATTGGTCTGGAATGGTGTAGAGGGTTTCCTGCCTAAGCAGGGGGTTGGACTAGAAGACCTCCAAGGTCCCTTCCAACTCTGTTATTCTCTTAAAGATTCCTTTAAAAAGAAAGAGAGAAAGAAAGAGAGGAACCCAGAGGGAGCCATTAAGGAGTAATCTACTGTATCACATTTTGAAAGGTAGTTCTGGGTTTCGCAATTTGATACCCTCTCGGGGAGGGTTGACAAACATGAGCTCACCATCACCTGACTTTTTTTTTTTCATTAAAGAAAAATAATAATAATAATAACAGAACCACGGAAGAGTTGGAAGGGACCTTGGAGGTCATCTACTCCATACAGAAGACACACCTCTTCCAGACAACCCAAACCAAACACTTCTGAATGTAACGTCCGAGAATATATTTTCTTCCCTCTGTTTTCTTAGAAGGAGCTTCAATAACTTTTTGAATTTTTGAATTCAGGGGGCTTTTTTTCACCCGGGCGGCTAGCGCAGCATTCAAACTGGTGACATTTTTATTGAAATGATCTGGCATTCACCTTCCCTTTAGACAAGCCACTGTCACAAGTTTGCTTGCTTCTTATTAAAATAATAATAATAATAATGACAATAACAATAATAATAATGCACCAAACCGAATTGCCACTGGCTTCCGTCCAGCGAAAATCAACAGGAGAACTCTGACTTGCTTAAAGGACCTCACGGTTCACTTAACGACTTTGGCAATTCGCTACACAACCAGGGCCACAGAGGCCCTAAAGTCAGGCACGGCTCGCTTAACAGCTGTCTTGCTTAGCATCGGAAGTTCTGTTCCGAGCGGTGGCCGTCAAGTCAAGGAGTACTTGGAGAGATCCGCTGGCTTTCAGCCATTTCAGTTTGGATTTACTTTACTGAATTCACTTCAATCCGAATTTACTTCACTGAATTTGCTTCAATCCGGATTTACTTCAGGAAGGCAGCGGGGCTGCTATGGGGCCGGCCTCTGCCTGGCCATTCAGAATAAGCCCTTTTCACACCCACCTTTTGAAAATGCGGGATGCGCCAAAGGTCTTCCTTTTTCATGGGCGGCTGGAACTTCCTCAGCAGGCACGTCCGAGTCTCGTAGACTTTTCCCCGACGTTTCTGAAATACATCAAAGGAGCCGGCCAGCCTTAGAAAGTCACCCAGGAGAACGCATCACACATATAAAGACACTGCCTGGCCGGGGAGACCGGCCGCAGCCGAAGGGAAACAGAAATCGAGGGGGGCGCTGCTTGCTAATGGGCCACAGGGATTGGCTCAGCCTGGCGAGGTAGGACAGGCAGGAAGCCCATACGCAGCCCTGGGTGCTCTCTGGACACGGCGGCTTTCTGGCAGACGTTTCATGACCCAGCTAGGTAACACCATCAGTGCTAGAAGGGAGTGTGGTTTGGAAGGAGTGGGAGGAGGAGGAGGAGGAGGAGGAGGAGGAGATGATTGTGAGGTCCTTGGTGCTTCTGAACTTATTTGTTTTCTTGCAGGCGTTTCATCACCCAACTAGGTAACACCATCAGTGCTAGAAGGGAGTGTGATTTAGCTGGAAAGTTTTGGAGACTTAATCAGGAACAGAAAAGTCAGTTCCCATGTTGAATGTTTGGAAATCTTGTTCCAAGTCATGGGAGGCGCCTTATATTTGCTTGATGGTTCCTCACAAAGCTGAGATATACTCCTTGAAGAAGATATCTGATTATTTCTGTTTATGCTACATAATTAGCCTGCCACACATGCTGGGATCATCTAACACATATTGATAACCAGGTCATTTGAAGACCTAACTTTTCCTTTCAAAGGACATCAAACAAGTTGTAAGTAATAAAGGAACAAGAATAAAGGAAACCCACACCGTTAGCTCTAAAGGACGACTGACAAAAAAAATATAAATAAACCCCAAGAGTCGTTTGCTGATCTTCTTCAGAAAGCAGGTCCATCAAAGAAATTAGACCGTTTAGACCAGAGTTTCTGAGCCTTGGCAACTTTTAAGATGCATCGACTCCAACTCCCAGAGATCCTCAGGTGGGAGTTGAAGGCCACACATCTTAGGGTTCCTAAGGTTGAGAAGCTGTGATCCTGGGAGGTTGCCTTCCCTATATCAAGTTGAACCAGCTTATGGCTTCTAAGTGTGTCAACAAGAGAACGGTTGTTTCTTTAAGCCTCCTAAAAGTCACCTGACCTTTTGTTTCTTCTCAGCTTTTTCGGCTTTGATGACTGCCCTCTGCTCATCCATCCAAATCTCTCCGTATTTGTGTTGCAACAGATCGAAGAAAGGCGTTGAGGGCCTGGAAAGGTTTTAGGAGGAAAGCGACAAGGATAAGAACATCAGTGACCTTACCGTAACCGCATATCACGCTAAGCCATGATACAGTGAGCTTGAGTTTGGAATCACCCAACGTCTGCATTCCCTACTTGCGTCTAAATCAGAAAATTGTCTTGGCCACATCCATGGACTTCAAATTATGGAACTTCGACCCCATCGGCCAAGTTGTTATTATTCCGTCTTTCTCCTCCTAGCTTTTTTTTTTTAAGTTTTAATTTCATTTGACATACAATCAAGTCTACTTTTATCTCAGATACTTAGTCACACCAAAAGGGACACCTGGTATGGACTGGTTCGTTCGTTCATTTACATATTTAGTTGAAGACTACAGGAACAAATTCCTCCTGATTTTTGACCACCACAAGGTGATGTTCCTCTCCTTCTACAACACTCTTAACCTACTGACTGTCTGGTTGCTGAGCGTCAGTGATTTCCATATGACCAAGAAAGTTGTCGATTTCCCAGTCCCAAGAGACCACATGAGAAAGGATGAACCATCCCATGCAGTCTCAGATGTCTTGGGCACCGATGTTCCTCATTTAGACCTAGTTGTGTTCCTTACTTTGAAGAAAACTACAAATACTGACCATTCGCTCTCTACAGGCATTCTCCATCAAGCAAAGAATGCGACGTTTCATCAAAGGTGATAGACAACCTTTGACCACCATTGCTTGCTTGTAGGACAAACCCACCACCATAGCTTGCTTCAAAGTGACATCCACTACCATGGCTTCTAGGGGAAGACTAAAAACTTCACCTCAGAGCAGAACCTCTTAGTCAGCAAGACTGCAAAAGAAAAACGCATTCAAAACAACCACCTTTGTTGTCCAAGTCTCCATTGTTGCTCAGTTTTTTCCCTGGGCCTGATGCAGTCGGTGGCTGCCCCAAAGGAGAGGCAGTCAAGCTATTCTGCAAAGCAGCAACCTGGGACTAAGGAGAAACTTCCCGACAGGTCGAACGATGAACCAGTGGAACCACTTGCCTCCAGAGGTTGTAAATACTCCAACACTGGAAGTTTTAAAGAGATTGGACAACCGGTTGTTTGAAATGCTACGGGGTTTTCTGCCTAAGCAGTGGGTTGGGCTAGAAGACTTCCAAGGTCCCTTCCCACTCTGTGATTCTATTCTGTTCTAAGTCTTTTGATGACCTCAAGAGCTTGCCTGCTCCTTGGTAGACTAATACCTGGCCTCCTAAAGGAAACCCTTGAACACAAACTCTGGGATTCTTCCTCCTCGTTGGAAGAATCGCAAACATGTCAGGGGCTCTCTAACCGCTATTTTATTTGGGGTCTTTCTGCACGCACGTAAATAGATGCCCTCCTTCTCTTTCACCCACGGCTTATTTTGCTCCTGGCGTGACTTTTATTGCTAATTATGTCTTGCCACATGCTTCAGAGAGGCTTAATCTCTGCTCATGTTGGGTAATGATGTTACGAGCTTGATCAAGTGCCTATCCATCCCAAGAGGCTGCTCTTAGAGAAAGCCTTCCGCCCCCCCGCCTGCAAACGAGGGCTTGGTGCGCATCAGGGGTGAGGTGCCACATGGATCACACCCAGGCTGAGGTGTGCAGAATATTTTGGGGGAGCCTGTCCACAGTTCCGGTCCACACACACACACACACACACACACACACACCCTGCCAAATTCTGTGGATTTAGCCCACTGCAAAGAACGGAGGGGCTGCCAGAAAGGGGAAGAGATTTATTTTCCAAATCGCCAGAAGGCAGGACAAGAAGCAACGGAGGGGAACTAAACAAGGAGAGAAGCAACCTACAACTAAGGAGGAATTCTGTAACAGTGAGAGCAACAGTGGTGGCTTCCCTGTGTGGCTTCCATCATGTCTTCCTCTGGATGTCTGCTGGTCTGGGGGACTGTGACAAAGACAAACCAACAATTTAGATTCTTGTTCCGGATTGCGTTCCAGATGCTAGCCAAATTTCCTGCATTCACACATTCTGGTCCTTCATCCAACCTTAGTCTATATCTTCTGGATATCTATCTATCTCCCTGCTATCTATCTATCTATCTATCTATCTATCTATCTATCTATCTATCTATCTATCTATC